TCTAAAACGTAAATACATTCCCTTTGTAGATTTCTATCGAGTTTTTTGCACGAAATGTATTACCACACATCGTTTGAATTCATGGTAGAATGATTTTTAAAATATAAGAGTTACAGGCATACTGTCTCTCATGACCAGGTCTCTCTGTCAAGGATTATGGCTTTACTCACAAAGTACTCTGTATTGATGAGGATGGTCGAGTCATTATATTGAGGCTATGCTTTGTCAGGCAGATGATGGCTGAGTTTTTTATTTACACAAAATTAAGAGCTGTGTTCCGCCCCCCCCCCCCCCCCCCTTACTAAAACCGTTTTGTTGTTTTTTTTATAACCAATTTCAACCCTTGATAGTCCACACAATAGGAGGAAATGAACACTAAGGTCGGTAGTGTGCATGTTCAATAGCAACGTCCCATCCTCCCTTAACCCACTATTTCCTTTCCTGACGCGAAAACACGTTCGCCTGACGATATGGAGTTGTAATGTTAGCTGTGTGTTGTAAACGACTTTCCTAACCACTTATGACAAAAGTAATTGTGTACGCGGGTCGTGCGAGTCAAACTTGAGACCTCCTCGACAAAGGTCGGTTCAGACGCTTTCTATTTTTTTAACTTGGGTCGAAACGATGTTGAAACGAAGTGTGACGTCAGAAGTGCAAGGGCATAAACAAGTATACGTGATGAAATACTTGTTCAGAGGGCAGGGCAGCAACAGGTTTCAACCCAGTTTACTAAAAAAAAACAGAGAATATTCTGCACGCGCATACGCTCTCATGTATCTATTTAAAGTGAAACTTCGTTCATCCGGACCCCGAACGTGAAAAGCGCACTGGAAAAAAACAGTTGTACGTAATAAATACTTGTCCCTAGAGGGCAGAGAAGCAGGACATATTCACCATTTTATGTTACAAAACGTTTTCTGTAATTTAATTAAAATTTCGATAAAGCAAATAGCGACTGTTCCGAATGTCTAAAACCGAAACCTCTCTAGTCCAGACCCCATTGCGTCGATAGCTTTAAGGACCTCTTCATATTCACAAAGCGGAATTACCACAAAGCCATCATTCACCTAGTCGCCTCTTACGACAAGCATAGTCAACCATGGGTTGCTGAGGACCTATTCTACCCCAGATCCACAAGGGTCCAATGCAAATGTCAATGGCCTTCGTGACAAGAAAAATATCAAAAGTTATCATCGATTCCTACGGTGGCCCTTAAGGGACATGGAGTCTGTTTTTCAATATTTTGATATTTCCCACCGCGGTGTAAATAGTTTTCACCTCGGTTGAAATAGTTTTCTGAATTTTCATTTTAGTTTTTAACATTTTCGTTTTTGTTTTTGAAATTTTCATTTTAGTTTTTGACATTTTCGCTTTTGTTTTTGACATTTTCGTTTTTGTTTTTGACATTTTCGCTTCACTTTTCAGCGATTCAATACTTTCTTTATACATGATTTATCACATATTTGTATGACAAATCGTGTTAATTTGCAGAAGCTTACGTAGGTGAAATATCAAAATATTGAAAAACAGACTACATGTCCCTTATGGGCCACCGTAGATTCCACACTAGACGATGTATAGTTTCAGTAAAGGAAATAAAAAAGGAAAAGACTGATAGTGATTCGTTTTTATCCAAATTACATTATTTATACAAAGACAGACACCCTTTGTTATTAATTCCGAAAATGGGGGTTTAAGGGGCTGTTTTGTTCCAGACTTCTTCAAGGGCAATAGTTAGGAGATTCCTATGAACAAGAACAATCTTCTATTCCTTGTGCAGACGGCCAGGGGTAGCCCAGTGATTACAGTGTTCGCTCGTTACCTCTGTTGCGCAGTGGAAGGCGACGATCACGTGTCCACCTTCTGTCCTTCTAACTCCTCTTGAAAGTATGCAATTGATGGGGAACAAGACGTGACTCTCTTACATATAGATGGAAATACGAAAAAAACTATGGTAGATACATGACCACGAATGTAGGAATGAGCCACTTACTACAGGAGCAAGTATACACTTTACATTTATAAGGACCACGAATATTGGTCCAACTAATATCCATAAAAGATCACGGACCCGTGTAGATCCGGGGTAGAACAGGTCTTCAGCAACCCATGCTTGCCGTAAAAGGGGACTATGCTTGTCGTAAGAGGCGACTAACGGGATCGGGTGGTAAGACTCGCTGACTTGGTTGATGCATGTCATCGAATCCCAATTGCGTGGATCGATCCTCGTGATGTCAATCACTGGACTGTCTGGTCCAGACTCGATGTAATATTGCTGAGTGCGGCGTTAAGCAACAAACCAAACCAAACCTATAAAGACCGAGAATATTGGTCAACGACAACGAAAGCAAAGTGTGTCTTGCGCCATCGAAGCGTAAAGCCTACACTTACTCTTGAAATGCATCAGTGTCAGAATCCACTTTCTGCACGTGTAACGAATGACACGATCTGTTTTCTGCGAAGCATGTGACTTTTATATGAATTGTTCATGTTACATGAACCGAAACAATGTGTCTTATTACCTCTAATCAACACCATCAAACACCATATCCTGCACTGATGACGCTTGAATACTGCTGAAAGCGGCACACGGCGATATGTATGGCTAACAGTGGCATAAAACCATACTCACCAACTGAATCAGATCAGCTATTGTTCACAGGCGTTGTTCACAGGCGTTGTTCGAAGGTGTTCGAAGGTGTTGGAACTCCATAAATGTTTCAAGTTATTAAGAGGCGTAAATTCAGTTTTCAGGCAGTCTGACATATTAGCTTTGTTCTAAATTCCGACCGACAAAGTCATTTATGTCACTATAGCTAGAAATGTTTCATATTCTCATTTCTTCTTCGTTTTCCTGTGAACAACATGTGATCAATAGTCAATCTGATTCAGCTGGTGAATATGGTATATATTACCTGCAAGGCCAAACATATCGGGCAGACATGTCGCATGTATGTGCCCCAGGGCACATATCGTATCACGAGAAAACAATCCTCGAACAGTGATTGGCTATAGGCGTGCTTACGTCATTAACTCGTCCGCCGATCATGCCGTTGTGTAAGTCAATAGAGATAAGCTAAATACCTCAAAGATTAATACAGCTACGGTAATAAATAGAACATTATACTCATGTCCATGTCATACTGTGCTTAGGGCATACTTGCCTAAATTCTGGTATTTCCCGAGTGCATACCAGAATGTGCACAGTCTCTCTTAAACATAGCATGACATTAGCACTCGTTTAATATCCTCTGTGTATGATGTTAATGTCATATCAAGTATAACCATTGAAAATATATTCAAGCATTGTGATTGTCAAGATGTGAGAAATACATTATAACTTAAACTGATATCTGGATCGATGCAAGTTCAGTAGTTTACTTTCATTCAAGGTTTCGTTTGATTATATAAATAGTAGTAACGTGCTGCAGAAAGTGGACGTTTGATGTTAATTCCACTACTTGCGGCTCACTGGCCTCATCATACTGCCACCAACATGTTCGGCAGGTACGCTTCGTGTATATCGATCATCTGATATCGTTCAATAATGGTCCAAAACCTTAGTGGGCTTAAAACCAGAATGCTGTATGTACATTTCTATGTCAATGTCCAATCAAATTCTTGACACAGATCATGTGACCAGGAGATAGGATCACTTTATTTCAAATCATATTGAAGACAGAACCATTTGGTTATCATTTATCAACTGTAGACTGTGAACATTAGGGGTGAATTTTGTGACCTATCACCTGAAATACTAAAAAAGAGATAATGATTTCATTACAATAAGCTGCCTGGACTTTGGCCAGAATAACAAGAATACGCTAATTGAATTATACTACTGGAGATAGAAGAGTATGGATCTGAAAACACTTCTTTGATTTTCTTACATAAAAAAAAATATCTGTAAATGAAAAGATGGACAATTACTTTTGCCTTAAAACACATATTAATTAATTTGTATTTGTTTGTGTTATGTGAAATAAATATGCATATTGGGTTTTTGAATTATCAGCCAGTGGAGATAGGACATTATGGTTCTCATGCAACGATGTGGAGGAGATTTCTGTGCGTCAAGATACGCTCACGTTTCCGCGAACATCTGGTACACTATTAGATAGCATTTTTCATAAACACATACCCATGATCTAGTTGGAATCGTAGGATGGACTCATAGTTTTAGCAGATTTTTTATAATTATGGAAAGCGCTGTGTGGCGTTTATATTTATGGAGCAGCTGATGTACTGTCTGACTTGAGATGACGGTTTGATATTGTTGTGTTGCACTCTTGTCAGTTCCCTAATGGTTTGTCTGTATAAACAGAATAGCATCGCCGATTCAGCAACACTAGTCTAACTGAAACTCTGACTGCACTTGCTTCAGCTCAGGGGTCAAGGTCAACGCGCACTGCCCCAGATGTGTACCAAATGTGAATATAAAGTGTTTCGTTAACACAAGTGAAGTAGCGTTGACGTAGATATACTTATCAATGTTTCCCGAGAGAGCCAAATAATGAGACACTGACAAATAATGCTGAAAAATTCATTTGACGTAAATTGTTAGTTTGATCATATTTACATTAGGATTAAGAACTTGACTCTCTGATGCTGTCTTTACATTAAAATACCCTTGCTTCCAAAGATTATACGTGGATTGGAAATCAATTTTTGGAATATATTTATTTCATACTGCGAATGATACTATTTATGAACCAAGGTGTCTGGGGTCGAACTCAGTCTTGTCCATTGTGGACGAGCCACGAACCACGCGTACCCTTCCTGACATCCATAATGGCATGGTATCTCATTGAAACTGGCACTATAATAAGTACAAAAGCCCCCCCACCCCACCCACACACACAAACACACACACAAACGCGCGAGCGCATACACACACAGACGCGCTCACGCACACATGCATGTCGCTGCATGGCCGAGCAACACCACTCTCCCATCAAATATGTACAAACAGCGAAATACACTGAGCAAAAAAACAAAACTACGAGCAAATCTTTTATTTTTGGGATATTTTGTTCCACTGTTGTGCCGACCAGCGGCCAAATGTAAATACTATAAAATATATATTGCACCTGTTGTAATGATACGAAACACTCAACTGAATACGTTGTCCCTGGGTAACAATCAAAGTACTGGTGATCTATGAACTAAACAGGTTACGTATTACAATCAATATACATGTAATTTCATGAAAGTACGTTATCCAGTGTTAAAGATCAGTGAAGCCTCATGTGACTTCTTGTTGGTTAAGTTCACAACATTTGGAGATCATAAGAGTCATCGTGTTCAGTGCATGTTAGTCTGTCATACAGACCCTGAAACAAATATATCCAATACAGCAGACGCAAGTCTATAATATTTGGCAAGTCTAGATTAATGCAGTTTTTAAAAAGACCCTGGGCTCCTTTTTATTATATTTCATTACAATAATTTAACGCCTGTTTTTTCGGAAAAATATGTTCATTTCAGAGACTAGATGTTAGTCTAAGTACATGTGTACCAAGACAGTTATAAAAAGAACGCGCGTGTGATTAAGCTCACATGTAATTACCAGTTTATTGTTTAAGTCGTATTACCTGGCGAACCCTCTGGCTTTGATGTAGTGACCCAAACATTCCTCCGATTGGGATTACCAATTTGGGAAGGTGATTTGCAGATTAAAGATTATACATCTACTTATAATACGGTCACAGGCTGAACCAAAGGTGATCACAGATTTATTTTAAGGTTCTTGTGATGACGGCTTCAGTAGATTATAGAATTATTTCGTGTTCCTTGTTTGTGTGTAGACAAACACGTGACTCAGTTGTTGGTTAAAAATAGAATATGAAAATGAAAAATTAAAAAATGAACGAAGTCAAATGCGTGTAATTAAATAACGGTTTCGGTCAATTTTAGAATTAGTTCTTTTCCATGTTTTGTGAATAGGCAAACACGTGACTACGTTTTTTGTGGAAAATATAATATGAAAAAATCGACAAGGTCAAATGCTCGTAATTCAATGCTAGATGCATTATAATAACGGCAACACATACTGTTCACGCATCAAATGTTTACCGTCGAAATAGCGAAATGGTAAACATAAGATATGAGGAAAATGTTCACAGATTGGCAGGTACATTGGTCAACAACCTAGGTGACGTAAGCACTGTGTAAGGTTAACAAGATGGCATCGGGGATTTCGCTTGAGGGGCCACATGGTTAATAAGCGTGTCCTTCACACAACTGTCCGCCTTCATATCAACCCGTCACTGATCGGAGTCATGACGTAAGGAATTAACTTTAATAGACTCATTGCATGGAATGTCTTGGTGAGCTCCACGCAGCGTGGCCGGGTTAGTGTTGACATCGCCTCAGGCGGTGAGGGGCGGGAACCTTTTCATCAAAAGAGCATGTCCGGCTTCAGACAGATGTCTCGTCTAAGGGATGAGTCATGTCCGTGACGACATCTTGTTGCAAAAAACAAGATTTTTACGGACAGTAACTTCCGATGAGGAATGGCAGACTATTCTCGTATTTGGGTGACGAGACAGACATCTCGTGTGAACACACGTTCTCGCGAGATTGAGATTCGATTCATCCCGATCCTGGTAGGATCAGAGTCATTTCTTGAAGAGTCTGCGCAAGATGTTGCCCTTCCTCTTCCGGTCCTTCAAAGCGGAAATGACGACATGATCAAACACTTCCTTAAGGCCCTGCTGTTTCTTCGCGGAACATTCCAAATAGCAGTCAGCGCCTATCTCTTTAGCCAACTTCGCGCCTTCTCTCGTTGTGATATCGCTTTCCCTCGTTCCCTTCCTGAGATCTGTCTGAGTTCCGACTAGGATTATTGGAACCTTTCTGTGTGTGAATTCTTTGATCTCTGGGAGGAGAAGATCCTGTACCCTCAAGAAAGACTCCCTGTCGCATGTCGAGAAGCACAGCACGAACACCTCGCTCTCTTTGTAGGTGATGACTCGCTCGTGTACAAAGTCATCCTGGAAGAAAAGTATATGGTCAGTGAACGGACTTTTGACAAAACATGAAATACTTTCCCTCGAACCGTTTTATATTCGGAGGGAGGATACACTAACCTTGCCACAATGTATTTTTTGGTTTCTCTTTTTTTCAACAGTCTGAAGCATAATGATGTTTTTCAAGCAACTCCTGCGACAATTTATTTGTTTCGACACAATCACAGCCCTCTCACTACCCACTAAGCTCTGTTATCAGCAAGTCCAAATATTAGCCCTTGATACAAGTGCAATACAATGCTCTGATATGCGCGTCATACACCCTTCTCTATTCCGACCTCTACTTGGGTGGGTCAAAGTATGAGAGTCATGAGATGACCACGGGGCGGGGGCCAACCACGTCACATAGACCGTCAGATGATAACGATCCATAAGCTGATTGCAATTGACATTATCATTCGGAAATTAACAACCCATCAATCACTTTTCAAGATAACCATCGAAAGACATATCATGTGTTGTTTTCATATTAAATGGGCAGAGGTTTTATATGTAAATCAAATTGGTTCGAATCCCTAATCAAAATGCATTGGGTAATCTAGCAATAGGTCCTATATCCTGACCCTGACCCCACGCTTGCTCCCAATCAGCGACAGAGAGATACATCCGGATCCATTAATGTTTTGTCGATGACTATGCTATTTCGTATTTCACATGTTTCATTACTGTTATTTTTAGGGGTAAATTTGAAATATGTTTCAAATTATTAATCTGAAAGCGTATCTACCTGTCCAGGTGTATCGAAGATATTCACCATGAATTCCTTTCCGCCAACTGCCATGCGCACTGCAATTGAAATAGACAACATAAGGACATAGTAAAAACATGTCACAGCCGTACAGTTAATTGATGGTTGTCAAGATAGGAAATGTGTGTCATCAGTAGTTTTTTGTCCTGCGTGTGTATAGCCCATATATCGTAATACTAATATTAACTTACTACAGAATTGCTATACTGAATATAAATGGCAACGCTAGAGAATAATCAGTCTCGGTTATCTGTCGACATTGGGCGTGAAAGGCGAAATAGTGAAGAAAATTATAGGAATGGATCACTGACTGCTCTAACGGCAGCAGCCGCCACTCACACAATTGGCATACAAAAGCGGACTGTAAACGATCAAGTTTTGACCAGGCAATCAGCTGCAGGTAATGGAGAATAAACTTTTTCTCCTGTACCCCCGTGGGAGGTCTTTTGGAGGGAAATAGATGATGACGATGATGATGATGATGAATCTGGACGAGACAATCCAGCGACACCATTGCGCGTGTACTGACTATCTGTTGACGTTGAATTACTTCTGCTGTGTAAAAATGCCGATATGCTGCATCATTATAAACTTGCATTATAATTTCTTACCCAAATAATAGGGCATTGTCATTTGATCCTATAGACAACAGATCAAATTGCGCATAGTTTATATGTTGAATATATTACGATGTGTCCATATCTAAAATGACATGTTTTTTGTTGGGGAAGATCTCTAAAACCGTTTCGCCCATTTACGTCTCAAAACACACAAAAGCGGCCATGTTCATGTGAGGTTTATACAATTCAGTTATACGCCCTTCTTTGTGCCAATGCTATCGCTCTTGTTCGTAAAATCACTGACCTGAATCCATTAAGTATCATATTTCAAGACTTTGAATTCCCACAGGATAAGATGCTATTTATATCCATATAGTAATTATCAGCATCCCTTTTGAAACCCATCTCCAATTTTCCTAGACAGCGGGGATGTTATTTCAACTAAATAATGTATAAATAGACATCAATTACAAAGACGGATCCTCGTCAAATAGACTCCACCCTCACGGGTATGCTGTGGTTTAAGTAAAACTCCGAATGACATACATACGGATGTGGATATTCTTTGAACGCCCTTATCCTTTTGACTCGGGATTGTATTAATGTAACATGGGCGAAAAGACATAACCTGCAAACATGGCATATAGCGATAACCCTGGGAAAGTGGTATCCCCGTTCATTCTATTAATCCCTGTTTCTTAAGCCGGTAGTCTTAAAACAGGTCAAAATACGACAAAGCAAATAGTAGCGAATGGGTCAAAAGGAAATCCTCGTCTTACTTCCGCGTTTACTTGCAAAAAGCATATTTACGATTCTGCACAGAATATGATTTCAAGGCGGACAAATATGTTTTGGCACACAAGGGAGTTTGTGGTGGGATATTTGACATGATTCTGTGGTAACAAAGCTGGGTCCTCGTGTTACGTTCATGTTTCTGGTTTTTAATAGCCGGACATATTTTCTTCAACAAAACAAATAATCACAACCAGAACTGAATGAACACGTTAAAAGGTAATGTCATTGCAAAATATGATTCATTGGTTTTAGTTAAATATGTTAATTGTGAAAATATGAGACGATGCGAATGCGTGTATTTTCTCTTGTTCATAATGAATAAGGTACGCTGGGTTAGCCTAGTGGTTAAAGCGTTTGCTCGTCACGCAGAAGACCCGGGTTCGATTCTCCACATGGGTACAATGTGTGAAGCCAGTTTCTGGTGTCCTCAGCAGTTTTTGCTGGAATATTGCTTAAAGCGGCGTAAAACCACACTCACTCATAATGAATAATAAATGCGCCTCGCTCTATCATAGAAACTTTCAACGTAATTTTCGTACATATGACACCCAACTACCCACAGTAAGCACTTTGTAATTTAACTTCTCATAAATCAATGACTATAAGTTTTAAAAAGGTGCTGATGGTATCAATATAAGCAAATATTATATATGTAGGACCATGGCAGATTTACATTTTTTTGTGTATTTATGTAATACACACAGACACAAATATTCCGCATGTGTGTACATGCAAGGCGTGCATACGGCGAGGTGTGCACACACACACACACACACACACACACACACACACACACACACACACACACACACACAAACACGCGCACACACGCGCGCACACACACACACACACACACACAAACGCACACACACACACACACTATACATTTCACACGAAGAGGTGTATATATGTATGTAACACTCACACATATAGACATTACACACATACACAAATAGCGCACGGGTTAACACAGATAGCGTTGTAACACTTCTCACCTGTATACTTGTCCAACATCGTAGCCACGTAATCCTTTCTAAACTTTTTACTTATGTACGTCCTGAATAGCGTTGTCTTCCCAATAAGACCGTCGCCTAGTAGCGCACAGTGGATAGTCCTACTTTCCGATAGTTTACAGTTGTCTGATTTCATTTTAACTCAGTTTTATCTTACAACGGGACACTGCGAAGTACCTTAAGTTGTGTTGTCGTCAAATGGTGGTGACCCAGGTATATAGCGAGCGTCAGCCAATCAAAAACCAGGAGTTACGGACCGTAGTCACAAGCCGGAAAAGTCACATGACCCTTTTCGTGTGTCATTGTGGTCCGATTTAGGTAAGCCGGTGCAAGTTTTATAACTTCGTGTGGCAAACGGAGCGAGTTGATCTCATTCGCTGCTTGTGCCTCGTAAGAATTTTACAACACGGAAGGTGAATGTACTTATTTATTCAAAACTTCAACCTCTTCACACTGGATAATGTCTCACCCCTATACATTATGGTGAACTTGGAGGTCGTGTGAGTGGCAGTTTACACCGTGGTGAATTTAAGAGCGTCATTGTTCAAAGCGCAACAGTGTAAATATATACAAAAAATGCAAACGGGAAATTGAATGAATACGGAAAACCGCCACACTATTACATTCCTTAAAAGTACGTTAACAAAGGCACTTGAGATGAGAACCTATAGACGTACATGTAGTGTACTAAGTATCCACAACAGAATACGTAACATTAATTATAGGTAAATCAACTGAACGTAAAACACAGATAATCTCCCTCGCTGTGGTCAACTTGATTTGTTGTAGTGATCGGACAAATCGTTTCACGGAAGACAGACTGCATTTGTTGTTTGTTGTGCAATACGAAAATACAATCATTAATTGTCAGTAACCTATGCAATTATTAGTGAGTGAGTGTCGCTGAATTTGTCGCCCCGTTTCGTGTTTTCTTTCTGTGTATGCTACAGGTAAATCTATCCGAACGGGATACACCCTTTGTATGTTGTCAGGTTGGGTTTATTTAATGACCTCCTTAGGTGTCAGCGGTTAATTAGAGGATGTCAATATCATTGAATTTGTATTTGTCATGTACCAGTATTTGTACCTCATATGCCGAGTATATCGGCCCTGAGGGCACAAGACCGCCTCCGTGGTCTTGTGGTAGAGCGTCCGCCCGGAGAGCGGAAGGTCCAGGGTTCGATCCCGGGCCGCGTCATACAAAAAGACGTTAAAAGATTGTACTTGTTGTTACCCTGTCTGGCGCTCGGCATTAAGGGGCTAAAACAAGGACTGGTCGGCTCGGAGTCAGTATACTGTGTCTGAGTGGGGTATTCATGTTAAACTGCGGCATGGTATCTCAGTGAGCTAGCACTATAAATCGGCATCAGTCCGGACTAGTACAAGCAGCCACACACACACATTCACGTGCATGCACGTCGCTATATAAGTGCAATAATCTTGGACGCGACGTTAAACCCAATTTCACCTCACCTCACCTGAGGGCACAAACGTTCTTGCTAGTTCTGTTCTGAATCACACACATACCAATGAAAACGGAATACGAAGCAACATGCATATGTTGGTTAGACGTGACGTCTACTCAGAGTCCCCCTAAATACTGTCTAAAAGTCAAGCCCCTATTGATATCAATGTATCTTGTCTCGTCATGATCATCATCCTTCTTACATTCCGAGATTCATATGATCATTCACATATATTTTGTCGAAAGGCATATTTTCCTACAGATTGAATAATGACAAAGTTCTATGACAAACACAATGATAAGATTTGAAATATCACACACAATGATGTCATTTGAAATGACATACACACTAATAACATTTGAAACAACGCGCGATAACAATCAAATGACACACCATTATAATAGAAATAACACACGATATTAACATTTGGAATGACACACGATAATAATATTTGAAGTAACACACACCAAAGCTGTTATCGGCTGTAGGGAAACAGATTAAATGCAAATTAATTAGAACTGGTAGAAATATAGTTGTATTTGTTTGACAAAACAACAACCATTTATGCTCTCTCCAACGTTTCCTAAGAAGAACAGTCATTCAAACTGTTAATGACCATCCTGGAGATAAGAATAGGATACATTTGAACATGGAGAAATATTAGGGTAAACTCCCAGAGAATCTGCGTTTGATCAGCTTAGAGACACATGCAAGTTGACTTCGTAACTTTAATCAATTAATTACTCTCTACAAAAATCATTTACTTAGTATTTTTTGTTCTTTCTTATATTAGCACAACTCGGAATGCGAGTATGAATAAATCCTCCCTATGTTCACTTTGTACCTCGTGTCCTCCATCCCCTACCGAGGGGATTATCCTTAATCTTAGCACCTTCTGGATTGACTGATATAACGCCAGTTAATAGGAGTCGAAAGATTGCTAATTGTCACGTGTTTTTAAACTTAATTAGCCGGAGGATAGTGTTTTAATTAACCCCCTTGATAACAATTTCTTCCTTTGGATGTACACGTTGATTAGGTGTTGATGTTAAATGCCAAAACAACATCTTCACGGGATTCGGGAAGGGATTTAGTGTAAAGCTTTATCCCTTGGTTACATTGCTGTTTAATTAACTTTACTCGTGACAAAAACCTCAACCACCTGATATATGTTTGCAGTCCATTAAAATATCCCTTTGTTTGCATACCTACACAAACATTGATTATTCTGAGCATTATATCTTCATTGGATATTTAACTTGGAGTTCACATTTGTACAATATCCAATTTATTATTTATTTTCTTTGTCTATATTCACTTTATTTTTTACTTCAATAAACTTTATGATTTATCGGTTTCCATCATTAGTGTCGGATAAAGCCGACTGTCGGTTTAACGAGACTTGGCTGTATTCATCTTTCCATAATACGTGTAGAAGATAAAAAAGATAAAATGAGCAGCTGTCGATCCAAACAAGTGGACTTCGTCCTCGATATCGTTTCCTCTACAAATCGTATACATTCTGTTTTGTAATGGCATTTAGAGTTGTTAAGTCATGATTCGTCTATACGTACACCCTCCCGTCCTACAGCGGACTGAAGGTGGGTTAGTACACGACCCCTCCGGCTATAACTATTACATGCACTCGTAGAGGTCACACGCGTATATCCGTCGAACCAGCTCAGCAGGTAATGACAGTGGTCGTTCATTGTGAACAAGAGGTCACGCGTGGCTCTTTGTTCTGTAGTTGAAATTAATCAAATATTGATAAATCTTAACACTAATTATGCGTTGCGCAGTGTCCCTATGGAGACCCGTGCTTGGATGTCGTTTTGCAGCACTTGAACAACAAGTTTTATATCCGTACTCATCTGTATTTCAGCATGGATGCAGACCATCGCCCCATACAGTTACTGTGCAGCCCGCATACAGTTACTGTGCAGCCCGCATACAGTTACTGTGCAGCCCACATACAGTTACTGTGCAGCCCACATACAGTTACTGTGCAGCCCACATACAGTTACTGTGCAGCCCGCATACAGTTACTGTGCAGCCCACATACAGTTACTGTGCAGCCCACATACAGTTAAAAACGCCAAGAGAGCATGGCATGTACAACGATATTTACCGCCTAAAGGTGATGACCAATGATGCCAGGTGTGCTCGGCAGCCTCATCATCAATACCTACGTTTATTATGTCACTGTAACATGGAGACATAACCCTGAGGTATCTGTAGTGAGAGGTATCTTAAAATGCATTGTAAAAAAACATTCACTTTTCAAATTAAATTTAGTTGTGTCAAATCAAAGATTACATATCTTACAATTCAAAACAAGGGCTACCTCTTAATTCACGCGTTAATCAATAATTCTGAAATATGTCGACAAAATGCAACCCTTCAAAGTGCGCTACTTGATATGATGCTCACAAATCTTTATTCCAGTGAAGAAGCAAATTGGTTTACACAAATTTGAAATGTATTCACATACATAGATATTCCACAATGGTTGGATCATTCAGCGTGACATGCACAAAGGGGTGTGTCTTATTTATCCAGAACAAATTATACAGATGCAGTCTGTATTCCTGTTGACAAAGTAGACGTGAAAAGAAGATCACAAACTTACATTTCCACTAAATGTTCACAAAAAGTAAAAATAATAATGCCTCATCATTCCTTTAATGCAAAAGTCATAAATAGTAAATCCTTTTCATTTTTTGTTCGGTGATTTTAAGACATTATCGTCTACATCCACCTAGATAACCTTTTCGTTTCTTTCTTGCTCGTTGGATTTAAGTAACGATGCAAAAAACATTTACGTTGTAATTACCGACTCTAGTTAACGACTTTTACTCATTTCATATGAAATCTACACCTTGACGCTCTTGTCAATAGCTAACATTGCGCGACGACAGTCTTATCACATTGCCGGCTTCGACCACGCGCACGTGGTCTATTTCACATGGGCCATGTATAGTGCAACGTGCCTCAGCTTGCGACTGGCCATGTGATTTGATCTATGAATAGAACTGTGATGGATCGTCATATGACTAGAATAGTACTGTGTTGCTAATTGTCGTGTGAATTGAATCTTATGAAATATCAACAGTTCTCGAGTTAACTGGTTCACGTGTCGGCAGCACAAGACGAGAAAATACATAATTTTTTATTCGTTCCGGACATAGATCCGCGTATAAGTATGTCACATAGGTCAGTAACATCACCTTTACGCAGCAACTAGGTATGCCAACAGGGAAAGGTGTTTTCACATGTGAAGAATAACATTAACCTTTACCTGTTCTATTTATCCAGAAGACGTGAGTTTGTATGGCTGTCTGAAGATGCAATTATGATGAGAATCGGGTGGTCAATATGTCTACTGAGGGAGAAAATAACTGGATAGGTAACAACAGGAAAGATCCAATTTTCAGTGTAGTAGTTTGACGATTAGCAAGTTTGGACATATGATGTTCCACTGTGCGTGCGTGCGTGTGTGACTCTTCATACACCGACTTGGGGCGTTTAATTGCCGAATTTCAGGTATTACAGGTTATAACGCATAGACACGTATCGAACAAGGGAGGTTAATACGTTTAAGAGACATCTAGCAGAAACTTCTCATGTTTTCGAACACAGTCCATGAAACCATTTGTTATGAAAGGAAAGGTTAAATACAGAAATAGCTTTGACTTCCGCTTGTTTGCCATTACCCTTACCGAGCCTTGTACGGCTTCAAACA